TCTCATGACGGGCTAATTGGCTAGTGTTCTTAAGATTAACTGATAAGAATTCATGAGGCTATTCGACTATTCAATTAACTGATAGTCAACATCCCTAGTTGTCACCTGGAGATGGGGGTTGCAGAGGGTTTGGGTTGGGACCTGGGGGAAGGAGGGGCTGGGATGCCAGTGGCAGGTGTAGAAAGTTGTGAGCAAGAGGTAGGCCCTGCTCACAGGTGCTGGCAAGAACAGGGATGCTCTCACAGAAACTCAGAGGTACTAAGGGGCAGGCCCAGAGCAGTCCAGAGGGGTCGTCACAGAACACCTCATTAAGCAACATCTTGGTACCAACACATGCGTCAGATACCAGACACACCAACCCAGGGTCAGGACGGGGTCTGAAATGACAACAGGATGGATCGTAACTGAATCCCCCTTGGCTGAGGTAGGGGGCGGTAACTAGGCAGCAGATGGTGGCAACCTGATAGTCAGGAGTGCTGCGTAACTTGTTTGTAACTGTGTATAATAGTGCACCCCAAAGGGTGCTGGTCGGCTGTCTGAGGGGGGTGCTGGACCCACAGGATTGATTAGGGATTACGCTATTGGCAAGGAGTACATATGCATAGCGGCACAGTGGTGAGTCTGTTCACTGACTATTATTGCACCTTGTTTGGCAGTAAACCTGGCCGGGTGCTCTCGATCCTTATCCGATTTGTGGTCTCTGAGAGTATGTCTACACTGCATCCCTCTGTCGGTAGAGGGATGCAGATTAGGCAGGTCGACATTGCAAATGAGGCTGGGATTTAAAAATCCCGTCCCTAATTTGCATTAAAATGGCTGCCGCATTTTGCAGATTCAGCACTTTGTCTGCAAAAAGCAGCAGTCTAGAGGGGGAGTTGTCGAGAAAGAAAGCCTTTTTGGACAGATCCCTTCTGCCTCCTGCAAGGAGTTTTGCAGGATATTTAAATCCCTGCCTCATTTGCAATGTCGACCTGCCTAATCTGCATCTCTCTGCGGACAGAGGGCTGCCGGAAGCGTCTTGTTGACTAATTGCACCTGGCTAACACAGCAGGCAGAGGAACATATGTTGATGGACGGAAGACTGATCAGGAACCCCTCTGACGACAGCAGGCTCTGGAGGGGAGGTGCTTAGCCCTGCCACAGTCCCAGGTTGCTGGAAACAGCTGAATGCTCTCTGTGGCTTCCTGGGAGGTGGTGGGTGGTGGAGGGCTTTGTGTGTCGGCCCTGCCCCCAGCACAAGCTCTCAGCTCCTGTTAGCTGGTCGGATTCTCCTTGGGGCCGGGGCAGCGTGCAAAGCCTCCCCTTTCCCCAGCTTGTGACTGATCTCTGTGCTGCAAGGTGGGTCTTAAGACATTTAACGGCGGAGTCACCAGTGGGGTTAGCTCCTGAGGCTGGGAGCTGACCCCACTGTGGCTCAGCCGTTTCCCCCTTATCAACTAATTGAGTGGTCCACAGAAATTCCATCGACTCCTTGGTTAGCTGATCTAATGCAATGTAAGGTCCCTAGGGGGCGGGTGCCTCTGCCACAGAAGTGTGATCACACACAGACGGCCGTGGAATGTGCAGGCGGAGCAGCGATGCCTTGGGGGACCGGGCCTGTGTGTGTTGTAGCAGTTACTCAGGAAGCCTCGCTGGGCCGGTGCACTTTGGAGCAGTCTCTGAAGCCCATTGGGGATCATTTTCCTGACACCTTTTTCTCCCCAGTGAAGAGCAACTGGCCATGGGAGCCTGCAGGTAACCGCTGGTAGGTAAATACTTGGATGCTCTAGAACTGTCTCTTGTGTCCGGGGGTCCTGAAATCTCAGCCACTGCTGCTTTAGGGACTGCACACGGACTGGACTGGCTGTAACAGGGATAGGACTGTGGGAGGCAAAACCCCAACCCACCCTCAGCCCTTTCTTCCACGGCCTTGCTCCCCACAGCAGCCACAGCATGTCCCCCTCCCAGCATCACAGGGAGGTGGGTGGCATGTAGCCCCAGAGCACAGGGAGGGAAGGCATGGTGCTCGGGGGCAGCAACGCTCCACCCTGCCGAGTGCCTGCAGTGGGCATTCGGGGGGAGGAGTATTGGGGGGACCAGGCTGGCGCCTTCCCCCGTCTCGTATATCCGCCACCCAGGTGCATTAGTCTTTCAGCAGAGGGCATTGCTGTTCCCATTGGTTTCCTCCTGACAGCGCCTGGACTGAAACCCTAAAGTTACCGCTGCGGTGGGGTCTGCAAACCCCGGTAACACCCCCAGGCTCCTGCAAAGGCCCCACCTGCCTAGAGCGAAGGCTCCAGCATCCCTTCCCTTCCCCCCTCCCCGTGCTTTCCCCACCCCTCCCCCCCCACAGAGCCCCAGCGCCCCTTACCCAGGCTGCTCGCCGTCACCTCCCACTGGAAAGTTTTCCCTTCGTCTGCACAGAGGCAGCTGCTGTAGGCGCCGTCCTCACCCGCCTGCACCCGGAACTGCGCCGACTCCGCCAGCGTCACCCGCACCTGTGGGCCCGACACGAGAGCCCCTTAGGGCTGGGGGGGCCGCGCTCACACGCGCCAGCTCCAGGCCGAGAGGGGACCCCCTGAGGCTCAAGCCCCGCTCGCCGCATTGTGCTGAGCCCAGGGGTCACTGCGGGGTGTCTGGGTCACAGATAGGAGCTGCTGGTGCCACTCGCTGGCCTGAGCCACTGCGCAGCCTCCAGTCCCAGCTCGCCAGCCCCAGCAGCTCCGCCAGGAGTTGGAGACGGTGGCCTTTAGGGTGAAGGCCTCTCCCCGGACCACGGAGTACGGCAAGGCCAGCTCCACAAAGAAGGTCTTGACGACTGTGAGGGTGGCCGTGGGGGAGAGGCCAAAGCCCCCCTCTGCCGTGCAGAACATCCCGGCTTTCCACTGTGTGAGGGTGTCGGGCACCGAGAGCGGGACGTCCGTCGAGCCCCCCTCGCTGGGCACGGACAGACACACAGAGCGTCAGACGTACCCACCCCGGGGGGAACACTATGGGCAGAGCCAGCAGAGACATCCCGGCCCGACCCTCCCCTGGGCTGGGGTCCTGAGCCGAGTGCCCAGAAACAGGCCGGTCCCAGATGTCCGCAAGGGGAAGAGCTCTCAGCGCCCCCAGATCAGGCCCTGAGCCGAGTGCCCAGAAACAGGTTGGTCCCAAGTGTGCATGAGGGGGGGAAGCGCGGTCAGTGCCCCCAGATCACCTGCCCCTACCCCACCCAAGCTAGCGCAGGACCCTGCCCTGCCCTGAGGCTCCTGGGCTGGACTCAGTGTCCCATAGGAGGGGGATTCCCCCGTTCTGCAGCCGGACACGACTCCCTGCCAGGGGCTATTCCTGGGAACCAGCCCCAGTTCCACCTGCTGGGATCCCCGCCCTCCCACTGGTCCCCCATGTGCAGAGCAGGGGGAGGGGCTGGTGTGAACCCCACTCTGCTGGCGAGACGCAGGGCCCCGGGGCTCCCCAGGCTCCCAGCCCCCTGCCTCGCTCTCCCTTGGCGCTGGGCTGTTACTGCCACCGCTGTGCTGGGTTCCTCTTCGCTGGCAACAGGCACCGGAACCAGCCCCACGTGGGCAGCCCCCCCGCCAGGGTGCTGCATCCGGGAGCGGCTGCTTCCCAGGGTCTGGCCCGGAGCCCTGGCAGGGACGGTGTGTGACAGCCCCTCACTCACCCCACAGCCACCAGGTCCCACAGCCACGTCTCTGGGAAGTACGCACGCGGCGCCAGCTCCGGCTGGGCACAGGGCACGAGCTCCGGCTGAGCGACGATCTGTGGGGGCTGCTCCCCCCCATAGGAACATACGTCCCAACGGAAGGCTAGCAAAGATCCAAAGGGGGGTGAGGGGACCCCACGCTGCTTTGGGGGTCACATGGCTCACGTGTCTGCACCTGAAAGTCTCAATGCTTGGGGCCATTCTGGGGATGGACGTGGCCACTGGGAGCTCTGAGAACTGGCCCCTGCCCAGGTCTGTCTGGACTGGAGCAGCCAGTGGCCAGGCTGGGCTGGAGGGGCCAGGCTGGGGGTCCTACATGCAGTTCACCCCAGTGGACTCAGCATGTGGCTGTAGCCAGAGAGCTCCAGAGCTCAGCCCGGCCTCTGCCCACACAGGGTTAGTGGGACGTTGCCCTCCAGAGCCCGCCGAGGAGCCGCGAGCCAGACGGGCCGGCGACCCATTGAGGACAATGGAGAAACTCCACCCCTCCCCCATCCATGGAGAACAATGGATCTGCCAAGGGCACTGTCAGAACCAGGATCAGAACCCAGGTCCCAGGCCTGATGCAGGAGCCCGCGGGGCCGTCTCCCCCGGGGGGCCGAGAGGGTTGGGGTTTGCTGACTATGGGAGACGGAAGCTCCTGGAGCACTGACCTAGGTCATAGATATTGTCAATAGGCAAACTTCGTTCATGGGCAGCAGCAATTGGCATTTCCTGGAACTGATGCTTACAGATGCGGGTGTTGGTGAGAAGCTTCAAAGCTGCATCCTGGGCGAGAAGGAAAAAGCGTCAGGAGCCGCTAAAGCACCAGAGGCGGCGCCAGGCCCTTGTTACTGGCCAGGGCACAGGGTGACAGGGCAACGCCGGAGCAGAATTCACGCAGACTTGGCCCTTTGCTAAGGACTGGGCTCAGTACCTTACATGGGGAAAGTGAGGCACAGAGCCCCAGCGCACAAGGATGGGAAAGGCCCATTGGTTCACCTCCCTCCCTCCTTTTCCATACAGCACTTCTCCCCTGGCTCCAGCACTGCAAGTCCCCAGCGAGGGGGCTGCCACCAGGAGCCAATTGCAGCCTCACACGTGGCGCTGTTGGGCCGGTATCCCAGTGACTGTTCCGGCAGCTCACTCTGCCCATGCCAGGCTGCGTGGGCCGGAGGCTGGGACGCTCGCTCCTGGGTTCTGCTCCTCCCCTCCACACCCACCTGCTGGGTGAGCTGGGCAGGGCCCCTCCCCTCTCTGGTCCCTCCTCCCGTTGCGGGCTCAGACTGGGAGCTCGCGGGGGCGTCTCTGACTGTCTGTTCAATGCCCCCACATGACCTGAGCACAGACTGGCGCTGCCCAGCGGGGCCCTGCCCTTCCAGACTGAGGGGAGCCCTGGCCCTGAACCCCTGACCACCAGGCAGTGAAGGGGTCAGGCAGGGGCCACCTCAGCTCTGCCCCGGGGCTGGTGCAGGGACGGTGCCCGAGGGGGGCCCTGGGCAGGGACGTGAGGAATGACAAGGAGACGGGCCCTTGGGGGGGACACGCCCGGAGCCGAGGCAGCGCTGCGGCCGGGCGCCCTGCGGTGGCTGCGGCTGGGTGCGCCGGGGCAGGGCCCAGGAAGGCAACGGGCACCTCCCCGACCCCACCGACCTCCCGGCCAAGGGTCAAGTCTCTGCTCCGAGGCAGGGAGCTTCTCAGTGAAAGAGCTTCCGTGTATCATGGGACGCCGAGTATTTTCCCCTCCCCCTGTCGGGGCAACTCCAGGGCCGTGTTAGCCGCAACCCTCAGAAAGTTCAGCCGGAGGCGACTCCTGGCCGGGGAATTTCTGCCCCAGACGTTTGAGTCTGACAGTCACAGGAACTGAAAACTCACACAGGGCGTCCCCACTGGACTGGGTGTGAAGGGGGCGGGGGAGGTGCAGCCCAGCCCTGAGTTTGCGAGGAGCATCCCTGGGGAGTCACTAGAACAGGCCGGACTGTTTGGTGGGACGTCGCCCCAGCAGCCTGGGCACGGCAGAGCCAGTTTAGTCCTTTCAGGCTACAAAGGAGACAGAGGCAGGGCCAGGCACAACCCTACCTGAAACAGGCCGTTGGGGTCGGTCAGCGGGTCAGCCCTGCCACGAGTCCCTCTGCGCGGCCTCCGGAGAGACCAAATTGTCGCTGGCACACCGTGAAGAGTAGTAGACATAACTGTAGCCGTAGCATTGGACTGACAGTAACATGACTTATGCCCTTGATAGGAGTCTCCTTGGTGAAAATCAGGGAGCAAGTTATAGACCTAAAGACAAACACGGACAAGGGCTGCCGTGAGACCAAGGTACGAGCCTCCCCATGGCCAGCTCCTGCCCCTCCTCTCACCAACACATCACCCTGCAAATCTCCACCATCGCCCCTCTCACATCTCTAGCCTGGACTCCCCCAGCACCCAGCCCCTTCCCACTAGGGATGGCAGCGTGTAGTCGATTACATAATCAATAAGCCTGGGCTCATTGGTCAGTCCTATCGATTCCACGCACCCCCCCCTTCCTGCCTTCCAGTTCTCTGGCTCACCAGTAGCACCCAGCTCCAATACACTGAGAAGTTATTTTAAAACTCAGCTCATGATACCAAACATTCTTCGGATCCCAGAGGCTCAGCCACGTTACCAGGTCACTTTGGGTTTGCAGCTTATCCGAAATACCTGCGAGCTCAGACCTAGAGTCCGGGGGAGGAGTTATTTCATTTGGTCACGGATGCCCATGTGTTAAAATTGTAGCAGGTGAACACCAGCTGCTGATTACCCACCTTCAATTGGAGGCAAGCCCCCAAGGTAGGCCGGACTGTTTGGTGGGACGTCGCCCCAGCAGCCTGGGCACGGCGGAGCCAGTTTAGTCCTTTCAGGCTACAAAGGAGCCAGAGGCAGGGCCAGGCACAACCCTACCTGAAACAGGCCGTTGGGGTCTGTCAGCGGGTCAGCTCCAAATCTCGTCCCCCTGCGCCACCTCTGGGATTGCCAAATTTTCTCCCGCACACTGTGGGGATGAGGAGGTGGAACTCCAATATTTTTTGGACTCAGAAACAGAGAGGCCAGCTGAAGCTTTTTGGGCTAGGGAGAGCCCAGCTGGCAACTATCTAGGGAAGCACAATTGGCTCGTAGAAGCCAGCTGAAACCATTAGGGCGAGTGAAAGCCCAGCTGGCAGGTATATAGAGAAGCACAGTTTGCTTAGATGTGGGAGCCAATGAAGAGCTGAGTGTGGAGGAAGCAGGAGTGCCTAGGAGGGAAACAAGCTGGGGATAGCTAGCAAGGGCTGGGGGGCCAGCCAAGACCCCCTGGCTAGGGGCTGGAGACAAAACCCTGGTTTGGAGGTGGATCATGATGCAGACTAGGTAAGCAGGGCAGTTGAGCAACCCATACAGACTGTAACTTCCCCTGAGAGGGGCTAGATGAGGGCAGTTGGGGGCACTGAGGCATGATGGGGGGGCTTGCTCCCTGACACATGGCCTTCTGGTTCCAATTCCAACAGGGATGTGGAATGTGAGGGCTCTGAAGGAGCGGTACTGTTTCTCACTGGTAGCCTCTGCACAGGTATAAGATCACTGGGGGGGACTCCTCCATATACAGAGCTCTCCCAGCACCGGTGCTGAAGGGAACCATCCCGCTGATTGACTGGTGCCACCTGTGAGGACTCCACCTTGTACAGAATCCAGAGTGGATGATCCTGGATCTGCAACTGGTGCCAACTGGGAGGACTCTGCCTGGCAGGGCTCCCTGTAAGGTGCACACCTGCATGAGCACACCAAGAATTTCATTCCTGCCCACCCCCTAAGCAGAGATGCATGGCTGTGGCCCCAGCTGCTCCCAGGGTAAGCTGCATAGTGTGTGACTGCCCACCCCAGGAGCAGCTGGGCATCTGAGTGGTGGCTGCTGGAGCGGGAACCTGGGCCACAGCACTAAAAATAGCACCATGGCCTGGCCCCAGTCCTGGCACATGGGGCAACTGTCCACCATGTGGCCCAGCCCCTTGGAGCAGCTGGAACCATGGCTGCCGGGGCTGGGACTGTGGGACTAAAAAGAGCACCACAGCCCCAGCACATGGGGCAGCCACCCAACATGCTGCCCCACCCAGCAGGTGTCAGGAAGGCAGAAAGAGAGGGAAGGGGCAGGAGGAGTAACAAGGGGAAGGTGGGTGAGGGGAGGAAGGCGCTTCTGCTGAGGGGAGACAAAGGGGGCAGGAGAAGAAAGAGGCATCAAGGAGCAGGGTGGAGGACAGATAATGACAGGAGACCAAGATGAGACAATTAGGGGAAAGGGCAGGAGGAGCAGGGGTGGCAGAATGGGAAGTTGTCAGTGGGGGTGGCAGAGGAGAGGGGACAGGGTGATGCTGAAAGAGGAGGGGCAATTCTGGGAATAAGAAAATAACTTTTCCTTCTTCACTTTTTCCACACCAGTCATGATTTGAGGCTACATCAACACTACAATTTTGCTGGAAGAAGCAATGCAAATGAAGCACAAATTAGCATTTTCTCATGCTTCGTTTGCATAATCTCTTCTAGTTTGTTTTTGTGCAAAGGGTTTTTGCCCTAAAATAAGCAGTGTGGACATGTTCCAAAAAAAACCTTTGGCGCAAGATCCTTATGCCTCAGAAAAGGAGGTGGATAGAAAGCTGGCTGGATTGTCAGGCTCAACAGGTAGTGAGCAACCTGTTGTCTGGTTGGCGGTCAGTGTCAAGCAGAGTGCCCCAAGGGTCTGTTCTATGGCCAGTTTTCTTCACCATCTTTATTAGTTACCTGGCTGAGGGGATGGATTGCATCCTCAGCAAGCTTGCAAATGACACTAAGTTAGGGGGAGAGGTAGATATGTTGAAGGGCAGGGATAGGGTCCAGAGCGACTTGGAGTTTTAGCCCAATAGAAATCTGAGGTTCAACAAGGACAAGTGCAGAGTCCTGCCCTTAGGATGGAAGAATCACAACCACTGCTATAGGCTGGGGACTGACAGGCTAAGCAGCAGTTTGGCAGAACAGGACCTGCGGGTTACAGTGGATGAGAAGCTGGATCTAAGTCAACAGGGCGCCCTTGTAGCCAAGCAGTCTAATGACAAAGTAGGGAGTATTAGGAGAAGCATTGCCAGCAGATCCAGAGAAGTGATTATTCCCCTTCATTCAACACTAGTGAGGCCACATCTGGAATTTTGCTTCCAATTCTGGGCCCCCCAATACAGAGGGGAGGTGGACAAATTAAAGAGGGGCCAGCGGAGGGCAACAAAATGATTAAGGGGCTGAAGCACATGACCTATGAGGAGAGACTGAGGGATTTGGAATTGTTTAGTCTGCAGAAGTGAAGAGTGAGGGGGGATTTAAGAGCAGCCTTTAACTACCTGAAGGGAGATTCCAAGAGGGTGGAAAGAGGCTGTTCACTGGTGACAGATGCAGAACAAGGAGCAATGGGCTCAGGTTACAGTGGGAGAGCTCTGGGTTGGATCTTAGGAAACTATTTCCCTAGGAGGGTGGTGAAGCACTGGGAGGGGTAGCGGGTGGCAAAGTCCACCACCACCAGGATGTATTTCTTCCCTGTCCGGGTCGCTCTGTTGAAGGGCCCAACAATATCCATCGCTACCTTCTGGAAAGGCTCCTCTATGATGGGCAGGGGTCTCAATGCAGCTTTCTTCCTGTCTTGGGCCTTCCCCACTCGTTGGCAGGAGTCGCAGGACCGGCAGTACCGCTGGACAGCTGCAAACATCCCCGGCCAATAGAAGTTTTGGAGCAGCCTCAGCCGCGTGCGCCGGATCCCCTGGTGTCCCGAGAACGGGATGTCATGGGCCAGGTGTAGCAGCTTGCGGCGATACCTTTGGGGAACCACCAGCTGCCGCTGGAGGCCCCACCTGCCTACCGTCCCGGGGGACAGCCATTCCCGGTACAGAAATCCCCTCTCCCACCGGAACTTCTCCTGGCAATCTCCTCCTAGGGGTTGAGCGGCACCCAGGTCAGCCCGGTCCCTCAGGGCCTGCAAGGAGGGGTCCGCTCGCACCTCCGCCTGGAATTCAGCGGCTGGGGCTGGGACAGGGCCGTGGTTCCCCCCACTGCCTAGGTCCAACTCTAGGTCTGCTGGGACGGGGCCCTGGGCCCCCTGTTGGGGAACCTCCTCGAGTTCCGGGCCGCAAGCCCCTCGCTTGCTCTGGCTACGGGTGGTGACCAGCGTCCTGTGGGGTCCGTCTGGCCACTCCTCTAGGTCACTCCCCATTAGCACGTCGGTGGGCAAGTGCGGGTGCACCCCCACTTCCTTGGGGCCCTCCTTGGCCTCCCATTTCAGATGCACCCTGGCTACGGGTACCTTAAAGGGGGTGCTCCCTATGCCCCTCAGTGTCAGCTGAGTGTCGGATAGCATACGGTCTGGGGCCACTCTGTCGGGTCGGGCCAGCGTCACCTCCGCCCCTGTGTCCCAGAAACCCGTCCCCTTCCTGCCATCCACCTCCAGGGGTACGAGGCAGTCCCTCCGTAGGGGCCGCCCCACCCCCACCCGGTGCACGGATAAATCTGTCTCCCGAGGGTCAGACCTCCCAGGGGAGGTGCACTGAGCATCCTTCCCCCCTCCCCGAGCGGAGGTTTGCCGGCCAGCCCCTGCCTCTGGGGCAGCCTGCCCTTCCTCCCGCCCCAGCCAGTTAACCCTGGAACGTCCCAGGTCATGGGACCTGTTCTTGCGCCTGGTGCATTGAGCCCTCTTGTGGCCTCGTTGCCCACAGCGATGGCAAGTTAGGTTCTGTGGGCCCATTCAGGTCGGCTCTGCCCAGGCCCTGGCTGGTTTTCTGGGGTATCGATGACTGGTCCTGGTCCCTGGGGCTCGCCTCGGAGGTGTCTCTCTCCGTTGCTC